TTTGTGTTACGGCGCGTTATCAAGGCGTTCTCCGTTCTTCCTGTCGACAACGAATCTGCGAAGGGGTCCGTAATTTATGATCATCATTGTAATGAAAGTCCCTGGGTGTCCGCGCAACAAATCGTTCTCTCCTGCATAAGTATGAATGTGCTTACTCAAGTCGAAAGTATTACCGCAATGTGTTACGCGGAATATCAGTACATAACGCTGAATATCATCCTTGCCACGTTTCATTGGTGTATTCATTGTAATAAACTGCACCCTGTAGTTCTTCATTACGATTGCGCTGGCGTGAACATTGAAGTAACGGTGTACGTTTCTTAGTTATTATACCAATATAGTCGGTAGATGCTTGTTCGCCATCAATTCCTGCACTTCGAATTTCGATTGACGATCAGCAGCAAATTTATGTACGAGCTGCAGATAGCTATTTTCTCAAGGCGTGAATTTATACGGTAAGCGATACACGTACCATGCATTTTTCAAGGTAAAATGAATGACGTAAAAGTTAGGTGGTTAAACGGACAATGAAAAACATGAAACGACACTATTGTTTCACCTTTCCACACGGACCGGATATAACAAACGCGCTCCGCGTAAAACGACGGAATTGATCAGTACTGGAGAGTGCTTGTTCCAGCGATGTTTCACGTATACTAGTTTGCGTATACCACTTCGCGGTAATCGGTAAATTGCGCTTCGTGCCGATCGAAATAACGATTTCGCGCTTTTCTAATTGGCCCCGAACAGAGGTTACAAATCATATCTCGAAGCGCGAAGGTTCGCGGTTATACATGCGCTTGGGCGAGAATCCTTTTTGCTTCTTCCACCATCACTCTGTTATTATCCCGTCCTTCCAATCCCTTCTTTTCTTCCCCTTCGCGTCCCTCCTTTGCATCCCTTGCTTTCCTTATTTTAACGGATTCCAAGCCGCGGATGTACTAAAGAGTTATCGGAGGATGAAAAGGAACAGGAAGAAGGAAGCGTGGGAGGCGAGATGAGTAGACGGGAAGTTAAACAAAACACTTCGGATGAAGTTCTACGAGAGGTATTTAAGACTCGACTCCGTACGCCATTATCACATAATGCGGTAGTATTATAAGAAGTAAATGGTATTCGTCTGTACTGCGTGTGAGCCCCCCCTCCCCCGAAAATGGGCATTCATAACCGTAATGTAGTGCGTACGTCTCAGTCCATAATAAGTAACGTCTTCCTACAATTTAAATCTTCATGGGTAATTCGACCGCGGTTGACTGCCGTAAAGAATGCGTCCATGTCGCGATCGCAACTTGTCGCGGACCACACAATCTCGCGTAGTCACCGTTAAAACAGGCAATGACATTAGCACGGCCTCGTAAGGCGTGATCTGCTGATGACAGGTAATTGAATATCTTTAGCGCCTCTTTGAAGATCGACGTGCCGCGACTCGATCCGCATCTCGCTTGAGAAACTCTTCCTTCGTACATATTCCTTCTCTGCGATTCTCCCTCCCTCAGGAAGTATTCCTCATCATTCTAATGGTTTATTATGTCCTCCTCGAAGTTCTTTTATTTCGCTGTCTGTCAAACGCATTTTTTCAAATAATTAAATTGAGTTTTGGCTCTGAATTGTTATAAATGCCAAGAGGTGTAAGATATTTTTATCCTAAAATATTTTGTTAGACTTTTTATTATTATTATTATTATTATTATTATTATATCTTTCAATTCTCTTATCGTTTTATTCTGTTTTACCTGTCTTCCTATCTCTTTTCCTTTTCTTCCTCATGCCCAGCTTCAAGCAAGTTTTCCATGAGTCACGATCGAAGCTCCCGTCACATAACGGAGATTAATTACGATTTAGCAAAGAGCGGATGACGTATGATGAGACGTGGGCGGAGTGCCTACTTCGTCGCTTATCGCGACGTGGGCCAATAACCGAGGAAGAACCGTGGTACTTGTGGCGGCGAGTGATAAACGCGTTGATTTATCAAAATTGTAATCTAACTCAACAACGTCTATAGATTATCGCAATTGCACGTATCACACGTGGGTAACATAACTGTGTACGCAACTTTACAACTTGACCCGTATAAAGCTCCGTTATTGAAATAATATGGAAAACTGCATGCGATTTTTAAAACAAATAAACAATATTACGTAATTTGACGAATGTACACGCAAACTTTTAATATAATTACAATAATATGAACAATATTTTAATTATGCGACTATTAATTAAAATTAATAGTCACAGATTAATCAAATAAGTTGCATTAAAAAATAATTTTTTGTCCTTCTTTAATTACGATCACGTGCTGAAGGCGTTAACAAAATATTGTTAACGCAGCATTAAGTATCTCAAATCTTTTCGCAATTAATTTGAAATCGTTTCTGTTTTCAGGCGCACTGTCGCAATCTCAGTTCCCCGTGTTTACGATCTATGCCCAGAAAAGTTGTCTGGCAGTGAAGCCCTGCGAACGAGCTTGGTGCATCGATAGAGTGCAGGGACACCGCCTTCAGGGTCACGCACGCAGAACCATGACCGCCTCCTCGAGGCAGCATTGCCTCGAGCTCTGCCTGGGCGAACGAGACTTCCTGTGCCGGTGAGTACCGATGCAGAGTATTTTCCTCTTACGTAGAACTGTCCGATTGCTCGTTTTCCACCGACCTGCTTTTCTATCCGCTTCATCGCGGATACGATGTCCGTGGAGTAGGACGAACTCGCTTCGTAATATTCGTCGCGAATCGGTACGCAGAGGGAACGCCGGCTCGAGTAGCTTTCGAGGAGCGTACGCTCCAATGCATTTTCCAGTTATTGGATTCTTGGACCAGCTAGAGGACGTTACACTGCGCTCTTATACACTCACGAGTGTTTCTCAGATAAGAACAGTACGTCGTATTGGGACGTGAAAGAAAACGACGAAGAATAGCAAGCGTTAGAAAGGGTCAATCTAACTCACGTTAAAATTGCTCTGTTTATCGCCGTGTATTGCAGAAAGGACGTTTTCAAGACGAAACTTTTTCTGTTGTATAAGTGAGAATAAGGCGGCAAATAATCTTGTGAGTTTTATTACACCGAAAATACGAAAGAAAAAGATATTCTATATAATACGCTTATTTGGCAATAATTAGTAAACGCATACGTTTTTTCATATGTGATATAATTCAAAATTAATGAAATTCTACGAAAAGATTATTTTTTTAACATTTTTGTTTTGCCAAACAATTAATATAATAATAAACAATAAGCAGAAAAGAATAATCTTGAAAAATTCATATATATTCTCTACAAAGGTTTCTTGTTCATAGTCTATTTGAATTATATGTACAATACGTATATTTGTCACACTGTAGTGCGAACACATTGTAAATGCTCGATGAATAGAAATTTTTCGGTATTATCAATCTACATGAGATATAAAGCATAATAAAATGTTTTCATAGTAACGGAAATAACGATACTCGTATTATTGCGTTTGTTCTGATGAACATACGGCGTATTATACATTATACTACACCACGGACGTTGATTGTTAGTTATCGTAATATCATAACGATAGAATGAAAATTTTATTGTCGAGAAATTTGAATTTTAATTGTCAATACATTCAGGACTTGAAATAATGAGTACGAAACAACTGTATTACGTTAATGGGACAGATAATTTCTTTGTTAATGTCAAATAAAACGACGCGTTATGCAATATCTTACAATGTAATAATATTGATTTATTTTGATCACGTCTCGCAATGATATTTTCAAATTTCTAAACTATCTTCGCCGTCTAACGATTCAGAGGAAGAAAATGCGATATGCGACTTTAGCTGCTAACGAACTAGACGATCATCGTTTTACGAGTAAATAGGTGCCGCATCGATGGACGTGTCCTTGTTGGAAATCACTTGCGTTGTCGCATTGATCTTATTTAGTGTAACACATAACGGCGCATAACCAGATGCAATAATGCGTATCGCGACGTCCTTATTGCGCGCACTTATAAATAATATAGTTCCGCATGGACCACAATCGCGGTTTCTATACGTTTATGTAGGTGGTATCCGGAGCGTAATGACGCACTTTCATTACTCCTACAATGAATGAGAGGAGAACGAGCGTGCAAGGGAAGCTTGCGGGGAAAGGAAAATAAAAGTATGAAATGGTATAGGCATCGAAGTTGGTTTACGACACGATTATATTGCATTTTAAATGAGCCTCTTTCACACGTGCCGCTATGGCGGGCGCTCTTCTGATCGCAGGATGGATGTTATATGGACTGCTTCCTTCGCTCGTATACATTATGCGTGTGAAAATCGCGATGGGGCATGAGAAGGAAGGTGGTGTATGATTTTCATGCGTGTCAATTATGTGGTATTACGCTCTCCTAGTTATCAAGTTTATTTGTATGAAATTTACAAATATTGTTTCACACTAAACGCGCGCGTTTCGCATTCCCTTTGATACACAAGTTGAGCGTATCGGCACGCGCATGCTGCCCAATGCTGCATTCTCGTCTTTTCCAAGTCTGTACGAGAAGGGGTTTTTATGCGCGCATCGTTATTGCCAATTCTCTTTCTCCGATCGTTATCGCCGATACAAGTAAGCGTCTAGACAAGAATGATTTCTCTCATGCCGCGATCAAACCGTTAGACACTTAAGGATTTTTCTCACGGAAGTAGTGATTATCGATCCGATGGCTTTTCTACAATTCATATGTTGATTTATATGCTAATCCGTATAGTCCATCTATCAATTACAGCGCACTTGATCTGTAATTACATTCACCTTTGAAATGCGATTTTTATCACGTATCACATTCAGCGTGCTTTTCCTCGCTTTAAGCGCTCACGCGCGCTCTTTGAATGCGCTAAGCATTTTAAACGTGACACGTGCTCGATGCGATAGCAGGCAGAAAAATGTACTTTTTTTCCCGGCTCAAGTTAAACTACGAACTATCTATCGGTTTTTACTACGCTAAAACTACGCCGGTTAAATATTCTTATATTTTATACTCTAATATAATTTTATTTCTCCTAATATTTTCCTCAATTGTAAAAAAAAAAAACCTATTTTCTATTGCGTCGATTAGACGCCGGCAAAACGTAAATAAATTTGAATAGGTTAGTTGTGAGAAACATCAGAGTATTACAGACATTTTTCATTGACCAAGCATGCGGAAGACGATGGCATGGGTCGGCGGCGGCGCGTCTTCCGATTTCGATAGAGCTTGGTGTTGCGCATTTATGCGATATCACGCCGACGCGTCAAGGTTCGCGTCCGTGAGGCAAGCGTGCCGGGTGAATGTGCACGTGCACACCTTGAAAGCCTCCAAAGCGAAAGGTCTCTCTGCCAGCTGGTCTCTCGCGAACGACCCCCAGAGCTGTACCTTGGCTTCGACCCGAGACAGGGTCGAGAGAGGTCCTCGGCCAGGCGGAACCGTATCAAATGTGGCATAGCTACGCGTCTTTTCTAGACCCCCGGTGTTTGAAGAAATCGTGGAAAAGAGAGCACCAGTGTGAATATATGCATGAACGACCGAACTGCTGAAGCAAATTTCTTGAACAAACGCGCCCCTTCGCGTTTTCCGAGGAGGGTACAGACGTAATCCGCTTAATCTCCGAAGAAATGAAACGTGGCGCTAGGAAGAAGGCAGCTAAACTAAAAACTTCGCTTATCACAGCGATTTTCCACGTAGATGACAGACGGGAAATATATAATTGCAATTACGCCGTTTAAACCGATTAATATGCGAGAAGCATATCGAGTAACGTGCGCCACGCGGAATTCGGTCAAATAATTAGCGTTAATTTATTTCGGGACGATTTATTGTGAGCTGTGTACAACGTTAATATTAATTGGCATTGCAAATTGAATAGAGGAATAATAATTATTTGATATACGCTCGCTCGCCACCGAAGGCTGTTTAATCGCGAGCATCCGTATTCATAAACACCGCAGAATAATTCGGTACGAGAACTCACAGCGATATCGATATATACTAAAATCGTATAAATCGACGAGTCGCTATCGAGCCGAAGCGATCGGCAGAAACGTGCGCGCGGCGGCCAGGTCGCGCGGCAAAGAGGAAACAACAATGAAACATTTATCCATGAGAGATAATGCACGGATTCAGAGATCATTGAGCGAATAAAGGCGCATCCTTAGGGTTTGCATAATCTTTCTATCCTAACCCGGCTAATCCTGAGAGGTCAACGGTGTGTAGCGGCAGAAACACTTAGGAAATTACATAAATATATATACTTTGTCGTTCAAGAAAAGTCAAGACGATAAGGAAGCGAGAGAGTGACCCCGTGCGTTTTTCGAAATCAACCCGAAAGAAAACGCGGGAAGGAAGTTAGCTATTTCATTAAATGTAGATAAATCTCTGCTACGCGTTGCCCCCGGTTGGCACTGGTCGCAATTGTTCACCGTACCGCTGCTCATGGATAATCAAGAGAACCCGTGGTATTATGTTATTGCGCAACAATACGCGCGTGTGATCGCGAGGGTTAGCTCCAGACGTGATGCTCCGGTTGTCTCGCACGAAGCCAGACCTCCGCTACTCGCTCAAGAAGCGCCGATGAAGATTGTATTAACATTCCATGGGAACAGTATTTCCTCGGTACAATCGCCTGATTAGACATTGTCGGCGCTTGGCGGCGGAATTCTTTTGCGGGAACTCCTTGATTTCCAACGAAGGCGCTTCATCACGCGGGAAGATCCTCGCCCGTTGAGATTATTGAAAGTTATTATGTTACAATCTTTTTTTTTTAAGATATGCATGCGCATCCGACGTTAATATGGATTAATACCCCCTTTAATGACTGCGTATCATTAACAAACATCACACAAACTTTCTTCCTGTAATTTCTTTTATTTTCAAAATTGTCTTTTGTAACGATTATGTTTTTTCTTCTCAATAATTATTTGAAATTTCTATCGTTAATCTGTAGTGTAGAATTTAACTGACATAACAACTTTTCGACACTCTTCATTCGTCGATAAGTTTTTCGAAAATTAAGTGGCTTAGTTCTTCCATTTATAGAAATTTTCCCGTTAAGTATATTAATTTTGAATCTTCCAATGCAAATACATACCGCTTGTACGATTATCGGAATGGAAGAAATCTCTCAGAGGTAACCAAAGTATGAAAATGATACAATCGAAGGTCTGTCGCGGAAGTAGATATAATACGTGTATATTTCTTTTGTCCAATGCATTGGTGATTTGTTGCGAGCAAATAGTAAAGGCTGAGCGCATCTCAAGTGATGTGCTCCAGATGAGTATTCGAGAGTACCGCGTTCGGAGCGCAGAAGAAGAGAATAGGAAGAACGAAGAAAGACGAGACGGGGTGCGAGGAAAGAGGAGACTGAAATCGTTGTGCACGCTTACGACCGTCGGGACTGGTCGGGGCGATCGATCAAACGCGAATCGGTCGTTCGAGAATCGTTTCTGCTGCTACAGGGGGCTGCTCGCAGACCTAGGCGATGGCTGTTCACGAGAGATAGATTATTACTGCCGGTACGCCGTATCGGCCTTCCTTGTTACCGGGTAATGAGTTTATTGTTTAAGAATCACGCCAGAGTTACATGTGCTGCAATCAATT